CTTTGACTTGAGAGTTCCCTTCATGAGTCATCTTCAGGGATTCAAATATATCAAAGGCAGTTTCTCTGTTGGTTATTTTCTCATACTCAGTATGAGATATAACATTTAGCAATATAGTTCTAGCCTTGTGGTGATTTCTGAATTCCTTCTTTTGCTCCTCAGTCATTGATTTTCTGTCAACTTTCTTGCCATTCCCATCAGTGGGATGAACATATCCATCAATAACTAAGTCCCAAAGATCAGCATCAAATCCTAGAAAGAAACTTTCCAGTCTATCTTTCCAATAATCAAATTTCTCTCCATCAAACATGGGAGGTTTTGTGCTGACTCTTTCTTCATATATGTTGTTGTTGGGTGTTGAAGTTTCAGCAGCCATAATGTATATCAACCAAGAGTATCAAGAGTTTTTCCCACTGGATCTTTTCTGGTCACGGTTAAGTGATAGCACAAACAGAACCGGAACTCTGATACCAACTGAAGGTGAGAAAAACACTTAGAAGGGGGGGGGGGGGGGTTGAATAAGAGTTTTAAGAAATATGGCAATAAAAACAACTCCAGATTTTTATCCTGGTTCGTTGAACTCAACTACTCCAGTCCACCTTATCAAAGATGATTTGCCTTTCTCAGCAAGAACTTAATCCACTATTGATCAACTGATTACAATAGAAAGCACTAAGAGTAATTGTCTTAGTCTTCTCAAGAACTACTGACCATACCTTGGTCTTCTTAAGGAACTCCTTACAAATTAATGTAAACTAACAAGTGTTTGAATGCTTCTAATAAGCTGTATCACAACTGTGATGTTTACACTTAAGATTAAGTACAACAAAAACTATATGGTTTAATGAAAGATCAAATGAATAAGATCTTGTGAGATTTTCTCTTATATGAATCAAGTGTGTATTTCTCTCTGAGTGAACTTGCAATGAGAAAATGGTGAGTAGTGAATTAGAAACCTCAAACTGTTGAAGTAGTTCTCCTTTTATAGCTTTTTCCAAATGCTTTGAGTGATGTGCAGCTGAATATAATATTAGATTGTATAACTTTTCATCACCAAAAGTATGGGCAGAGATATGCTTTCTACAAAAAGGTATGGTTGTAGAAGCTTTGGGATTTGCACCACGTCACTTCTTTGGATAAATTAGCCGTTGGTTACTTTGGAAGTAGCACCACGTATAATCAAGTTTACAGCTTCTTCAACAGACTTCCTTCAGGATGAAGTCTTCATAATCTGCACTTCATATCTTGTAGCAAGCTTAAAGGTATGAAATGCTTTAAGATGATCAGAGCTTAAGATGAATGAGAAGTTCAGAGCCTTGATAGATGATCAGATCTTAATGTATCAGAGTCTCAATCTTGATTAGAGTCTTCATCAGAGTATACAGCAGTATGTGCTAAGAATGTGAATATTAATGATAAGAGTCTGATTATCAAAGCCTCTGATCTTGCAGTGAAAAGAACTTCAGAGTCTGATTAGATCAAAGCTTTCAACTTTTGTACACTTCTTTCATTAGCGCTTCAGATCATTCTGCAGCTTCTGCTTCAGATTCTTCTGGCAGCGCTTCAGAATCTTCTGATAGTCTTCCATCTGATGCTTCAGAGCTTTGCATAGTTTCTTTGTACTTATGTATTTTGCTTCTTTAAGAGTTTTCAATTTTATACCTGAAACAATAATACTTGAACAAATTTTAGAGTGTATATTTTCTTAATACAAAATTTCATAAAAGTTATCATCAAAACATAGAGATATAAGAAACACCAATTTGTGTTCTAACACTTCTGACGCAAATGGAAATCTTGGTTGCTTTCCTTCCATACACACTTTGCATGACTTCTCAGGCTTCTTAATTGTAGGAATTACATGTACCAGCTTCTTCGAATTTAGATGCCGTAAGCTTCTGAAATTCAGATGACCAAATATTTTGTGCCACAACTCACTTTCCTTCATAACACTTGTTGCACTAAGACATTCAGAGTTTACAGTTCTTACATTCACCTTGAATGTTCTATTCCTTTCTTGTTATGACTCTATAATCAGCTTCTGATTACAGTCATACAACTTTAGAAGATTATCCTTCATGGTAACTGAAAAATATTTCTCAATTAGTTTCCCCACACTCATCATATTGCTTTTTATGCCAGGTAAATATCACACTTTCCGAATCAATGTTGTTTTCCCATTGTTCAGAATGACTCTAACATTTCTCATACCTTTAGCGTTGAGGTATTTATCAGCAGCACATCTGATCTTTATCCTCTTTCCAGAGTCAAAGTCAACCATCCATTTCTTATTTCCAGTAAGATTATTTGAGCAGCCAGTGTCCATATACCACCAGTCTATCAAATCTGTATCATCAGATTCAGAAGCCATCAGTAGCACAGATTCATCATCAGAACTTCTGGCTATATTTGCTTCTTCTGACTTCCTTTCCTTGTTTGACCAGCAATCAGCAACAAAATGGTCAAACTTCTTACAATAGAAGTACTGGATCTTGTTTTTCTCATACCTCTCTTTTCCCTTCTCATTCTTCTGCCTATCAGAAGTTGAGGTTTCTGACTTCTGAACACCATCAGATCTTCTTCTGGCTTCTGAGCAAGATTGTTTCTAATGCTTCTCACCAGAAACTATTTTCAGAGCCTGCTGCTCTACTTCCCTTTCAGAAGTTCTCTCAGAAAGACACAACTCTTGTGCCTCTAGACTACTTTGCAACTCTTCAAGTCTCATGGTGGTCAGATCTTAATAATGTTCTATTGCTACCACAATGTAATCAAACTGAGAGGTAAGGGATCTCAATACCTTCTCAACGATTACTTGTTCAGAAAGAGTTTCTCCACAAGCTTTCATCTCATTAGTTATCATATTCACTCTAGAGATGTACTAAAATACCTTCTCATTGTTCTTCATGTTAAGATTCTCATATTGCTTTCGTAGGGACTGAAACTTCACCTTCTTCACTGATGCGTCACCACCATATCACCTGACCAGTGTATCCAGCGCAGCCTTCGCCGTCGTTGAATAAGTGATTTTCTCAAACACATTTGCATCCACACATTGATTGATGTAGAACAATGCTTTTTAATCTTTCTTCCTTGTATCTTTCTGCACGTTCTTTTGTTCCTCTGTTGCATTTGCTGCTACTGGAACGTAACATTCAGTGACAAGATCAAGCACATCTTGAGCATCGAACAATACACGCATCTAAATCATCCAACGAGTCTAATTTTTTCCATCAAACACTGGAAGCTTGGTGCTCAGACCATCGTTTTCGTTCATCTTCAACCTTGTGCAATCACTCAGATCTCACCAAACACTGTGTTTCCCAATCCCGCAGAATCAGAAAATGTGATTCTGTTACGATTCCGCTCAAGATTCAATATGAATTCAAAGCGAAATCAACCACACAACGCCTTACCGTTTCACTCGTGTTTCGCGTGTTTCTCCGTGGATCCAAACCGGAGCTCTAAATACCAATTATTGGTGCACAAGGTTAAAAAGTATTGAGGTCACCCTATAGTAGAAAAGATGATGAAAAATATACTTAGATAGTTTTGAGATGTAGAGAGAAGACATGTAAACTCATTGGTAAAGAGAGTAGATCAGATGAAGAGAAGTCAAATAGCTAGTGGTAGAAGAAGACTTAAAAAAATAATATGAGAAGTGATCAAAAAAGATTTCAAAATTAACTATTTAAATAAAAGTATAATATTGTACATTAAGATTCATGTAATCGATTCTATTTAGTGGGATAAATCTTGAGTGATTGTTTAAAAAATATAAAATGATTGTAAAAAAAAAATATATAAAATATGTCATACAATCACATCAAATTTGTAATAAAACTTAAGTGATTGATAATTAGATTCTCAGGACACTTGTTAAATGAGTAAAAAGAATATTATTATTATTATTATTATTATTATTATTATTATTATTATTATTATTATTATTATTATTATTATTATTATTATTATTTGATAAATAAAATTTATTTTAAATTAAGTGAATTTTTATTTTCACAACTTTACTATAAAAATTTAGCTTTTGAAGTTTTTATTTTAAAAAATGTTTTGGGATAAGGATGAATGAAGGGGCTTTTAGTCTTGCATGACACGCCAGCAACAACGAAGAAACAACCGCGAAATATGAGGTTACGGATCAAGGAAATCACCATCTTTCGTGAACAACAAGAAGCACAACCTTTGTTTTATCTTGGTGTCACTGTTACCGAACCTTTCAATTTATTTGTTCCTCCTTCTCTCTCCTCAATCACCATTCAATCTTCTCCGTTTCTTTCTTCCACTACTTGGTAAGTAACTCTAATTGATTCTCTCAATACATATTTTTCATTTTGAGATTCCTATTGATTAATTTTCTGTTTTTCTATAGAGTTTGATTTGGATCATTTGTTGAAATATTGATGTTTGATTCACTTTCATTATTTTGTTACTAAACTTTCGATTTTGTCTTTAAACTCTTATCAATCATACAAGAGAGAATGATAATTCAGAAACTAAATTGATAAATTGAGAGCAATTGCAAAACTATTTTTTTTCTAAAACCTCTGGTTAAATAGGATCTCTAATTGTTTTACTCATAAATGAAATTTGTATTCATGTATCAAATTCTCCTCTAATTGGTCTGTTAGTAAAGACTTAAGTTTTGATAACGTGTTCTTTCGAACATTCGAGTTCGAACTCCTCTATATGATAAGAATACTTGTATTGGGTCAATTTTTAAATTAGTTGATCTCAAGGACGGAACCTAAGTTTTAAAAAAATTCGTGTATTTATTCGCGCACGAACTAGATTAGTCAAATAGCGGATATAGTTCCATATTGTTATAGTATTAGAGGAATTTTGAACACATCTCTATTGTTCTGCGATATAGTACAAAGTGCTCCTCTTAAACAAAGTTTCTTTCACCACTCTCTAGATTTGCTTTCAAGTTCCATTGCTTCTCGACCCAAACTTGTCCGCATATTGCTGTCAACAATCACTCCATGTACTGGCTGAGCAGGCTTTGGTTTGGAAGCACCACAAGGGCAACAGAGAATATGGATTCATCAATTGCTCAAGGACCAGATGATGACAGACCAGCATCACTTCAACAGTTTGCCCAATTTGGTGCTGGCTGCTTCTGGAGCGTCGAGCTGGCCTTCCAGAGGCTGCCTGGCGTGACCAAGACCGAGGTTGGTTATAGCCAGGGCCTTTTGCATAATCCATCTTACGCAGATGTGTGTTCCGGAACCACGAAACACTCAGAGGTTGTCAGAGTCCACTATGATCCCAACGAATGCAGCTACGAGTCTCTGCTTAACGCGTTCTGGGCTAGACACGATCCTACCACACCAAACCGACAGGTATATATCATATCACATTTGTTATTTAATTGAATTGGTCTGGTTATCGTGTCTGATACTCTTATCGTGTCCGTGCTTCAGGGGAATGATGTGGGAACTCAATACAGGTCTGGAATATACTATTACACCCCTGAGCAAGAGAAAGCGGCGCGAGAGTCATTGGAACAGCAACAAAAGAAGCTAAACAGGAAGATTGTTACTGAAATCCTTCCTGCCAAAAAATTCTACAGAGCAGAAGAGTATCATCAACAGTATCTTGAGAAAGGTGGTAGATTTGGTTTCAAGCAATCTTCTTCCAAGGGATGCAATGACCCTATTCGTTGCTATGGTTAAATTAATTATTATGAAAATCGCAATCAATAAACTAGATGACTAGTTTAGATGTTGGAAAATAATAGTTTTGTTGATAAGTATTTGTTAGTATATCAATAAAACTACGTCACAAACTCCATACTCTATTTGATTTTTAAGTTGGAGATTCTCATAAATCAGTTGTATAATAGGTGTTTTTCATGTATAGTTTTGAAATGAAGTTTTTTTTATAGTATCTTTAATGGCGTGTCTGAGTTACAACATTAATGTCTTCATGCTTGGACATAACTTCTTATTTGTTATATTCCTTTTTCTTTTCTTTTCATTTCATTTCATTTCCTACTCCTTTTTATGAGATGATTCAGGCCTGTCTTCATGTTTTAACTTATCTTTTTATTTGTTATATTCCTTTTTTTTTTCCACTTATTTTTATCAGCCTCACTCTTTTTAATCTAGCAAGAAGCCCTTGTTCTTCTACTACGTTAAATTCACATGCTTCAATAGTGCTTTGCAAGTTTCCCTTTTTGATGTCATGTAATTAATTTGTTTCTTCATGAAATGCAACTATCACCTTCATTTTCTTGTTAGAAATGATTGAGATAAATGGTTTAGGAAATGAAGGTGATAGTTGCATTTCCTTTTTGAACAAGTCACACCATTAGTCACTTGTTCATACATTTCATGAAATGCAATTATCACCTTCATTTCCTAAACCATTTATCTCAACCATTTCCAACAAGAATGAAAAGATTAGCAGGAAAGATCTCATTTCCACCAACCATTAGTCTTCACTAGATCTTTTTCGCTTAGATTGTGTAAAGCTCTTAGATACCAATATGTTGGATTAAAACCAAAATACCTAATTAGATTGCCTCTCAAATAACTAGTGATATTGATAAAAGTTGAGAAAGAGAGATTAAGAAAATGATGCAAATACAAGATGAAGTGAGGTTTTATAAAATAAATAACCATCTCCTAATTGGTTTAATTACTCAATAATAAGTTGAAATGTTTGTTACAATTAACTTTTCTTCAACCAAAAGAACCATCCAATAGAAAATCAAAAGGACAAGATCACAAGGGAGACCAAACCAAAACCCCTTAATAAAAAAGCCATATCAAGCTTATCTAACAAGATATCTTTAGCTATATTCTTATGAACAATATGAAACCATGAGTGGGATCTAGAGTAAAATTATTAACATTTTTAATAATTTATCAAAAAATATTTATAATTTTAAACAATATGAGAAAATATTAGTGCAAACAAATTTGGAATCATAAGAGATGTGGTCCATATGTAAGTGTGGACCTAGTAGAGCCTCGTAGGCTCTAGGATTTCACAACAATTCATTTGTTTATTGTCTAGGTGGGTGGTCATCCGTGTTCATGTCTTTGCATGTACAAACATAATGAAACATAAATTAGTTTGGCTTGCTGATTAAATTAATTAGGATTAGAGCCGTTAGTCACTTTTCCATAGTTTAAAGATCACCTAGATCTAACTAGAAATATACAACTATTAAATCTAATGAGTGACGGTTTTTTATTGTAAGTTTTTATGTAACTAAATTTAATGTATGTGAGACATTAAATGTGAGTATAATTTTCAACTAAAATTTTAATTCTAATTTGTATCTATTTATTTTTGTGAAGGTCTATGTGGGATTTTCAGTCGCTTTTTTATCATATTCATCGTTTATTAATTAGATGTGTTGCTCTTCTGACGTGTCATCATCCTATAACTGTATGAAATAAGTCGGGGGAGAATTGAATCACACTATTTTGAATATCAGGAGATAAACTACTTATTCACTCAGTGACTAGTATTTTCAAGGAAGCCTCAGATATAGGCCTAAAACAGTTATAAATACCTCCAACATCACAGTGGAAGAGGGACAACCTAACTCCAATACAAAAATACAAGCATACAGAGCTTTTCACTCATGAGTGAACTAGCTCTCAACCTCACAACAAACTTTAAAGCTTCTGACAACCCTTAACCACTATGGGTTGTCATGTATTTGTACTTTAGCAAGCATAATTAGCGCTCATTGTGGGGCCCTAGTAAAACTGACTTGGACCACCATAACACCACCTTGTCAAATTATCGTCCTTCTTTTTAACCCTCCTGACTACCATGGTGAACAAAAAGACAACTGCTTCGGCCAGTGATGAATTTGAAGGTGAAGAAAGTACAACAAAAGATATGCATGTTGCTATGAACGACCTTCTTCGGTAGAACCAAACTTTAGAGAATATCATCCTTCACATCGAGCATCGTCAACGAGACAAACATGGTGGACAATTTTGAGGTATTGGATCACTAACCTCTGTTGGATGAGATATTTGAGGTGTCCGTCCTAGAGAACTTCAAACTTGGCTAAGTTCGATAGGCGCAACGACCTATATGAACATGTTGCCTCCGTCAACACTCAGATGACCATCATTGGGGCACATGGCTCTTTGAAGTGCAAGCACCTATCTAGAACCTTTAAAGACAACTATGAGGTGGTATATGGGCCTCCCTCGACTCTATATCACCAGCTACTAAAACTTGGTGAAGAAGTTAGTCCACCAATTTGTCGCGAGTAGGCTTGGGAAGATGACCATTTTCGATCTATTCAACATTCACCAAGGTCCCTCAGAATCCTTGAGATAGTATCTCGCTCGCTTCAGCGAAGCAACAATCAAGGTAAAGCATCTAAACCATGAAATGTTTATAGGAGCATTCCACAATGGGTTCAAGGTAGGAAACTTCAATGAATCCCTCACTTAGAGACCAATGGAGTTCTTGGCTAAAGTATTAATGAAAATGGAGTTTTATATCAAAGGCGAGGAAAAAACCTAAAAAGAAGACCTGAGATGCAAAAGAATGTAGTTCCCATGCTGGCAGCTTGCGAAAGAGTTAATACACACTGCATGTCAGAGAAAAAATAACATTCAAGCAAAACGGAAAGCCTAAGGAGAGCTCAAACGCCTCTGAACACTCGCGCTAGAGAAAATATGGTAGGAAGTTTTTCAAATGAATAATATCCCTTAACCACCAACTTTAATGGAAGACATCATGAGACCCGATCCTAACAGTTCTTGTAAGTTCCAGCAGGTTAAGAGGCACCATACAGAGGATTCTCTTAAGCTCAAAAAGAAGATAGAGCATTTAATCCATGAGGGTCAGTAAATGAAGTATGTCAATGGAAACATTGGTAGAGGGTTGAAAGGTTCTGGTTCCCAAGGGCGAGACATCTCTAGGAGCCCTAGATTCGGTAAACGATCAGTAAAGGAAACGAGCCAAGCAAATAAGGAAATGACATAGCAATCTGCCACACGTTTAACATCATCACATAAGGATTCTCTAGTGGCAGAGAGACCATCTCCATCTGAGAGAGGCGCGCTTGAGAAATCCATACTATTGAGAGTTTTCCTGTTGACTCTTACTTAGATGTACTAGAAGCCATAAAAGTTGAAATCACCTTCTTCGAGAAAGACACAACAAACATACATCTATATAATGACGATCACAGGGTTATAATCATGGGATGTGATGATTGGGAGATTAAAAGGGTCTTGATCAATCAAGAGAACTTTGTTGACATCCTTTATTGGGATGTGTTTGAATGGCTTCGTCTGGACTTAGATGATCTCAAGCCTTTCCAAGGATCACAAATGGATTTTTTGGGCAAGCCGGTGCAGGTAAAAAGTTATGTAAGGTTAAATACTACCTTCTAAGTCGAAGAAAACGCCAAGAAGATTAAGGTAAGGTATCTTGTCATTGATAAGCCGGAGCATGACAATGATTGTCTTTAGATGACAATCTATTGTTATGCTTTAGAAAAATGGGTTTTTGGGTCTAGCAAGCTTGGTGACAATCGGTTGTCACTATATCATTCTTTGAGAAATTTTATACAAGCTTTGACATTTTACCTCATAATTTTTTATTCGTGTATCCAATCGATGTGTCATTTGAGGTGTTAGTGTTGTACCCCAAAAATTTCCCAACTTTTTTCTTTACTTGGCTTATGTTTCATTTTATTCTTTAGCATTTGCATCTGCATAGCATTGTCTTTTACAGGGGATCAAGGGAAGTGTTCTATCCAAGAGAAGGTTATTAAGGGTATTAAGCTCAAGTAAGAGTGGTTACTCAAGTTATCCAATGCTCATACTCATCAAGTAGTGATCAAAGTTCTCTGAGAGAGAAGATTGACAACTGTTGCTTGCCTCCTATCTTGGAGGGCAGTTGAGGATCATCAGGGGTTCACAAGGCCATGGTTATGGATAGGAAATGTTGGAGAATCTCATTGAATGCTTTTTAATTCATTGGGGAGCTTATCTAGGTGTTCATTTCATGTGCAAGATGTCATAGTCAAAGATTGTGCACTTAGGGTTTCATCTGCTTAGTGTAAAGTCAATTGTTGGCTTGAAGGAGTTGGAGACTTGGTTCCAAGTCATTGGAGTCATGGGAAGTCATGTTGAGACATCTAGTATATCATTTCAAGTTCAAATCAAGGAGAATCAAGAGTTTGAGGAGTTAGTAAATTAGGGTTTCAGAGGAAGTTAGTGTAAAATCCCCTTCTTTAGGAGCTAACTTCAAGGACCACATACCTCAAGATACAAGTTTAATATCATTTTCTTATAAACATGAGGCTTGTAGAGCATGTTATAAGCTTTCTTTTGAGTACTAGAACTCATCCATTGGGTTTGTGGAACTCAAGTTATGATGCCATCAAGTTATGGGTCTCAGATGAACATATTTTTCAGTCAACAAAAGTTAACTCACTTCCAACGCACTTTTGACCTATAATCATGTTTCTTCTCAACTTTTTATGAACATGAAAGTTATTCCTCGTGATCTTATATTTCCAAAAAGTCCTAGAAGTCCTTCATATGATTTGTGGAACTCAAGTTATGAAGCTTGTAAGGCAGGGGTATTTTGGGAAACTTTGATTATAGGTCATTTTGGTTATGGGTCATTTACATACATTTGTGCACTTCAAATGGAACTTCAACCAACATGTAAGTTT